ACTTATTATTTAGTGAAGTATACTACCCTCTATATCTAGTAGAAGTTATATATACTTATAACGTCTGTCTCGCGTCGTAGTAGTACCGTGTTAGTAGCTTTATATACGCCTAATATAAGATAGAGTATACGGTTCTATATAGATCCGAGCTTTATTCGCCTAGTCTATATAAGGGCCGTGTACTAGCACTCGTGTCCGTACGTAAAGGCGGGTCGTGCTATAGATATATATAGCTAGCGTACCTTATCCCGGGCGGTTCCCTATATAGAGGCTATAATCCGTCGTATAGCGGCTTCTACCTAGAGGGCCCTAGAGACGGCGTATACCACTTATGGTCCCCATTTAAGCTTACTATCTAGTATGACTCCGAGCGCGCGCATGCTTTATACTAGTAGTTTATTAAATGCGTCGATTCGGGGGCGTCGTTCGCCTTCTCTAGTTACCTATTTCCCTTAATAATTAATAAAGTGCATAAGCTGGTATTTCTCTAGGGCGAACTTTACTCTATGGCGTTTTACCTACTAGAGGTACCTCTCGTGGTCCTATTCTAGTCTTCTATACGTTCGGTTAGTATTATTATTAATAGCTAGGAGGTATATATTATTAGCGTATCCGACTACCTCTATATACTTTATTCCTTAAAGAAGGTCTACCGTAAAGAAGAGGAATAGGATCGGAGAGATGGTGCTCCCTTATAGAATGCCGCATACCGTCTCTTTATATTCGCTTTAGTATCTAGGAATATATATCTAAGTTATTCTTCCTATGAGGAATGACTATATAAAGCGTATAATCCATTCTAGTATTCGTCTTATCCGGAGGTTATAAATAAGTCTTATATGGTTTACCTTATCAAACGCTCCGGCTATATCGAGGGAGAGGAGCGATACTACCCGTCCCTACTTCTATGCGGCCTAGACGACTTTAATAATATATTAGATAGCTATTATTAGGGAGCTATCTATCTTTACCTTCTAGTTTGGAGGGAGGAGATTATATTCCTATACCGCGGTACTTATCTTCTTCGCTATTATAGCCTCTAGTATCTTACCTAGGTAGGAGAGAAGGGCGATTGGTCTCTATCCCTTTAGGGAGTTAGGGCTCTTTCCTAGTTTCGGGAGTATGATGGTATAGGCGACTTAGAAGTACTAGGGGTAGTACCCCTGCGTGACGCATGCTTAGAATATACGAGTAATAAGTGGTAGGGTCGCCTTTATAGTTCTTTTTAGGTATTGATTTAGAATTCCATCTGGTCCGGGTGCTTTATTATTTGGGAGTATCTTAATAATATTAAGTATATCCTCCTCCGTAACTTCTTTAGGGATGTCTACCGTATATAGGTATTCGGCGTCGTGAACGTCTAATAGGTCTACTAGTTCCGGGAGAGGGAATATGGCCTCCCGTAGGGCCTTAGTTTTCTTAAGGCTCGTGGAGTATGTTCTCCCCTAATATATTAGGGGAGGCATAAGTGGCGGGGGTGTCGGAGTGTCTACGCCCTTAGCCCATTTCGCTATACGCCATAGCCCTATTACATATCGTGTCTATTAACTAGTAATTATACGCCACTATTTACGCCTTTTATTATAGAGGACTTTATCGCGTTATTATATCGCTTTCTTCTATTCTTTCTACGACTCGGGTATTCTCGTACGGTATATATATCTATATAGCCTTTAGGCGTCTTATCTACTTTCCCGTACTTAAGGAATCCCCTTTACTTCCGGGGGCTAGTATATTCGGTATAGTACGTGTTTATTTCTCGCATTCTAGTATATTTATAGGAGTATCTATACGGCCTAGTCTATAGCTAGGTTATTAGATATATCGACTATAGAGGGATCTAAGATCGCCGATTCCAGGTCCTTCAGGTACTTTTCCTAGTTAGTATCCTTCTATATCTATCGTCCCCGTTATTTATTCGGGGTATATATATTTATTACGGTTTCTATATATTCGTGGTCGGAATCCGTCTATACCTGGCCTAGGCGGTAGTATTAGATCCGGTAACTAATATGCTCTGTGGCGAAGGTAAGGTTAAGCGTGGACCCGTCTTCGTCCTATTTATGTTTTTTCTATATAACTTATTCTATAGGTATAAGTAGGTATAGGAAGTCGTAGTAGCGGGTGCGTAGTTCCCTTACTCTAAGTTCTTCCCTAACCACGGCTAGGCCTCCCTACTATCGGTAGTAGAGGTTAAAGTCTCCTAGAAGGATATATTACCCTAGTTCTATAGTACCCTCGAGCATCTTATCTAGTATAAGTATACGTTATTAGTTATATATGTTATATATATATAGGGGGCCTATATCTATTTATAGGTATAGTATTATTCTAAGGTTATCGCGCTCGGTATACGACTATAATAAGAGTAGTATTAATCTATAAATATGGAAGAGGACTTATCTTTCTAGTCCTAGAGGGTATATAGTATGGTATCCGGGGTGTGTGGTTGGTTTACTCGTCTAGTAGTATTTATAGGGTTCCTAGATGGCGAGTATTATAGCCCCGGTCTCTTCGAGGAGCGTCGCCTAGTTCTCTCTTTTATATTATATATTTACCTATATAATTTAGAGTATATTCTAGTCCCTTATTAGGTACTAGGGAGTATATATACCTATATGCTTATTCCTTAGAGGCGCGACTATCCTCGCGCGGTAGCGGCTTTAACTATGCCTTTTGGTCGTCCCATCGTCTTCGGGATAATCTACTATCCCGTCTAACTACCTTCCGGAGGGGAGGTTAGGGGTGTTATAAAGGAAGGGCCCGAGGTAGGTATTATATTCTATAACTATCTCGCGCCTCTCGCTTTTATCGTGCGAATATATTCTATAACCTATTTACGTTTTATGCACGTTAACGACCATAACGGGTGTTTCCCGTCGTAGTTTAAATACTATACTATATCCCTATTTCTTAGCCCTTCTCCTCGCGGTTTATAAGGGTACTCCTAGGTAGCGTGGTCCCCACGGTACTATCCGCACTTAGTCTTCTATAAGCACCTTTATATAGTATGTCCATACCCTTAGCAGTTAAAGTACTATATTATTACCTATGCCCTATCCCATGGCTCGGCCATAAGGAGCTCTCCTTCTACTAGGAATCCCTCCTATATAATATGTTATACGAGGGCGGGGTCTCGGAGCTCTATAATTATAGTAGAGTATTTTTTCGCCGTCGTCTTAATCGTCTATAGGTTCTTCTACCACGCTTTCATAAACTTAATCCCTAGGTATTTTCGCGTGTTAGATTATTCTATACGCGTAATATCCTCCGCTCCGATAGCCTATCCCCGTACGGGTACTAAGTATACCTATATCGGGTATATGGCCGCCCTAATAGAGGCGCCTAGGAAGATACTACTAATCGCGTTCGGATCGCGCGAGATAGTCTACTACACGATATTTATTATCGTGGTAAGTACTACTCCTCCTAGCGTGAGTTTAGCGGCGACGATATTTAACTATATTCCCTTTTATTCGTTAATCTTACTTACTATATCCTTTAGGGATGCTCGCTAGACCTATACTAGAGTATCCTTATCCTAGATTATAACGCGTATACTATACGCCGCGTCGCTGGTCCGGGGGGCCCGTAGTATAGCTTCCGGTATTACTACTATTTATGCCTATATGCTAGGGCGCTTACCTTAAGTAAGTTCCTCCTAGATTCTATGTAGGCTAGCCTCTATTCGGTCGAGCCTACCCTCCGGTCCTCCTAGTTATATCTTCTTCTCCTCCTCCGTAATTCCCCTTAGGTTCCGGATAAGGTCCTAGAATATATATAGAAGGGTCTTCTAGCCCTCTCCGGCTTCCTTCTCTACACGTACTACCTAGTAGTTAATATAATCTAGGAGGGTTTCCCCTCTCGGGGTCCCCTTTATTCCGCCTATCTATAGCGGCGTGCGCCTTTAGATATATTCTACGTTTTAGATAGGTATATAGCTACCCTCGGTAATATCGCTATATGGCCTTTTCTATCGTACTGGTGGGGGTATATCTAGTATATGCCGGGGTATATCGGTGCCTAAGGCCGCTATATTTATTAGTTAAGGGCTACCCTTAACTAATAAAAGGGGGTCGGCGTATCAGCGTTCTAGTAGCGTGGTCCGTGCCTCTATCTCCGTAAGGATTTTAAGAGGGTATATATATATCTTTATACGGTAATAACGTCTTGGTTTCGACGCTACACGTACGTGCGTGTAGTAGTAGTTAGTATACTCGGTATACTCTATCGATTAAGGTGTGTATCTCGCTATATTACCCCGAATAGACCAAGTTAGCCTCTTGGGGATGTAAAAGAAGTCCTAATAATATTATATAGATTTAATTAGATATACATATAAATATAACGCTTATAGAATTATAGATTTATATATAGCTAAGTACTTTAGAGTAAAGTATAAAAAGAAGAAGAATATTATTAGGGCTAATACTAGAATAGACTTAACTAGACTACTATAGTCTAGTATAGTCCGTAATAGATAGACCTAGGTTAAGCTAGCTAGAATAAGCGAGACTACTATATAAGTAGACCGTATATACTTAATTTCTACTCTTTAGAAATTAACCTCGTTAGAAGAGTAGACTACCCTTTTAAATATATTCCCAAATCCTTCTATAACCTATTAGACTACTATTCTACGTCTATAATCCTTATATCTAGTCTAAAAGAGAAAATAGAAGAAGGTTAAAATAGACCTTAATAAGTAATTTATAAATATTATATATATAAAGAAGGCTATAGATAAGGAGAAGAAGGAGGCGGTAGTAGAGGTAGTTTAAGCCATTAAACGTGCGGAAAAGCTTAAGAAATTAGAGACTTAATTACTATAGACTAGATAGATAGCCTCTAAGGAGGTATATAAGGCTTATTTATATGAATTCCCTCTGTTTTGAGTATATAGTTATTAATATAGGCGTTTGGAGTCGTACTCAAATCACGTGGTTCATTAGTGGGTTGGCTCATTAGTGGGTACGTCAACTTACTTTTCAACACCATCTGTCCCAGTCCACGTCCTGGCAACGGGCATGGGATGCTTCGAACACTTGCGAGTTTCCTGAAATCAGCCACGGCCATGTCGTCCCCACCGCCAACGTCAACCGTCGCCAAACGAGTCCCGATCCCGAAGCATGGCGTTGATTATCGTGGCAAGGTCGTGCTGGCGCCCATGGTGCGCTCCGGCGAGCTGCCATCGCGTCTGCTCGCCTTGAAATACGGCGCGGACCTCGTCTGGGGTGAGTCGTCTTGACTGGATATATCCCCAGCAGTCAAGCTGCAAGAAACTGACACACCCCCCAAAAAGGCCCTGAGACAATCGACAGATCCATCATCGGCAGCACGCGCAAATTCAACCCCACAACCTCCACAATCGACTACACCCGCACCTCGCAATCCCAACTCGCCCTCCCGCCCGAAATGCGCACCGAAAGCACCCTCTACAGCATCCACCCCGCCCTCGAATCCAAACACCTCATCTTCCAACTCGGCACCGCAAGCCCCACCCTCGCCGTCCAAGCCGCCCAGCTCATCGCCGCAGACGTAGCCGGCATCGACGTCAACGCAGGCTGTCCCAAACCCTTCAGCACAGCAGGCGGCATGGGCGCCGCCCTGCTCAAAACCCCAGACCTCCTCTGCGCCATCCTCGAGGCCCTCGTCGCTAACATCTCCCCCGTCTTCCACATCGGCATCAGCGTCAAGATCCGCCTTCTCCACGACCCCGCTGACACCGAGGCCCTCGTCCGCAGACTCGTGCGCACTGGCATCACTGCTCTGACCGTCCACTGCCGCACCACCCCCATGCGGCCCCGCGAACGCGCCATCCGCGACCAACTCCGCATGATCGTCGCCATCTGCCACGACGCCGGCGTCGCATGCGTCGTGAACGGCGATGTAGCAGACCGTGCGCACGCCCTCGCCCTCATGGCCGAGTACGGTGCCGACGGCGCCATGATCGCCACCGCCGCAGAGAAAAACCCAAGCGTGTTCCGGCCCGTGGCGGATGGTGGTGTGTTGCCCTGGCGCGTGGTGGCGGCAGAGTATATCCGCACTGCGATGCGCGTGGGCAATAAATGGGGTAATACAAAGTATCTCCTGCAGCAGATTGTGCCGGGCAAGGAGCGGGCGTATAAGGACTTGATGCCGTGTCGCTGTTATGCGGCTGCGGTGGAGGTGTTGCGGGGGCATGCTGGGGATGGTGATGTGGGAGGCAATGGTGATGTGGTAGGGGAGGCGGATGTGCAGCTTGCGGCGCAAACAGACGCCCTGCTCGGTATTCCGTACGGGCGCGCGAGTGAGTCGAAAACGGAGAAGAAGGCGCGGATCAAGGATACGAGGGCCGAGTATAAGCGGGTTGCGGCGGCGTATGCGTTGAGTAAGGGGGAGGGGGAGGGGGAGGGGGAGGGTGGGGAGGAGGTAGATGTGCAAGAGGACGGTGGGGAAGAGCAGGTTGCGCGGTATGGGGACGACACACAACAACAGCACCACGCGAAACGCCCATCTGTCAGCAAGGAAGCAGAAGCAGAAGCAGAAGCAGAAGACAAAAAAGCAGGCGGTGAAGCAAAAGTCAACATCTCGCCCGAACAAGACAGTACCAGCACCAATAGCACCAACAGCACCAGCGAGCACATAGACAAAAAGATCAAACTACCCCCTTTGCCCGCCTCTTCCGACGCCGCTACAGCTGCTGGGATGCAGAGTATAGCTGTATGAAGTGTGATGCACACGTCGTGAACGTGGTAATTAGACTGGAGGGGGTCTTTGAAAGGGGGGGGAAAGGTTAGAGATAGAGGGAGATATAAAGGCGCTTTGATCCTGGTCAAAATCAAACAATTTCAACTTGAAATTCAGAGACTGGTTCGAGTTCGATCTGGTTTGTTTGGCTGATAGACAGACAATAAAACAGTTTTTGTGGACGTGAGCGTCATAGTGAACGTGAATAGATTGGGAACTGGGAATTGGGAACTGGAAATTGGGGAATTGGGGAATTGGGAATTGGGAATTGGGATCAGAGTGTCGAGACTAGGGCGTCAAGATCAGAGACTCAAGGCTGGAGAGTCAAGGCTGGAGAGTCAAGACTGGGCATTTGGATTATGAAATGGAAGATCCAAGATCAATTTGGGGCGGTGGATATTTCTGTCTGCATATGCATGAATCGAAGAATGAATCGAAGAATGAATCGAAGAATGAATCGAAGAATGAATCGAAGAAT